GGAAGCATCGAAGATATGACAATAATGATTACAAGTGTATTGTAAAAAATTAAATTACTAGCTCATTTACTATTTAATCTTTTGACGACGAAGTTCCGACAATTTACGTTTTTCAAAATTTGAATGTCGAGGGAAGATGAACTATTTGTTGTGTTTTGACATAGATGTCATTGGTAACAGCATTCTATCTTTAAATCAATGTGAAGTGTAAGGATAATGATTGCCAATAATTTTCAATATATATCATATTAACAATAGATTTTTTACTTTATTGGTTTTAAAAATAAGTTCGCCGTCACAGATTAAAATATGATCATTACAGGTGGAAAACGATGACTGTTTGAAAAAAAAACAGTAAAGTTTCTAAATTTCGAGAAAGAAAACTTCGAAAACCGAATCATTCTAGACTTTTTCTATCACTCATTAAACCTTATTAAATAAAGATCGTATCGGAAAAAAAATCAATTTGACATATCAATTAGAGGATTAATCTGTGTGAACGTGAAGATGATGCATTCACTGATATACTCCTACAGTTGTATCTTAGAGCATTTTTAAATTCTAAGTTTAAAAAGAGAATGACAGATGAATAATTATATTGTCTGATTTTTTCTTTGAAATGTTATTCTCTTCTATATGATACTTCTGATAGTTTTTGTACCGTTGTTCAATGAGATTATTCGTTTTTAATAATTCTATCAGAATCAAAGTTGATTTCTTATTTGTTGTTTGCAAAACTGGATTGATTAATGAATTTATGGAAGATTCTTTATTAAAAAGTAGATTTGATGATCTAGAGCGACAATCTGTTAAGCTTATTTTCAATGAAATTGTGAAATTCGAATAATTGAGTGAGAAGAATAGAACACTCTTTGGACATGTGAGGCATATTTCCTTGGATTTCTTTTTCGAAATAATTAAAAGAAGCCTCGGATATAAATGAGAGGCTAATGATTTTGTTGGATTAAAAATGAATTTTTGTTATTCAGTTTGACTCTGTAAAATCTTTTCCACATCGAAACTTTTAAAAATTAACTGAAACATTAAACATCATTGAGAGAACTTTTCGAAATGAATTATATTACAAAAAGTTGTGGTCGTCATAGAGATCGAAAAATGATCTATCCCATGTATATTTAGCTTGATTTCTACGCATAGATATCTCAAAAAATTAAATCAAATTCATAGTCATAGCAACGATTTCGATATACAAAATCAAACTATCTATGATAATATTCACTTTAACAATATCATCATATGACTTTGTTGAATACTTATCATTCAGTACTTTTCATACACACTAATCATCATACAATCAAAGAAAAATCGAACTAAAGAGTTCTCTATGACCTATTTATTCATGGCAGATACTAAAAATTTGGTCGTCTTGTTATATCTATTGACTTGTATTTTTGCATGAATGATATTGCAATAAAATGAATCATTTTGATGAATTCAAGGAAAGATGAATTTATTTTTACTTTTCAAAATAACTCAAATATATATATCAGAATAAATTATCCCAATTAGAAAAAAGCTATACGAAGATGATCAGATTAGACTAAGAGTATTCTTCAATAGTTGAAGAAAATGAAGAAGACTTGTTCAGATAAAAAGAAAGACAATCGTTAAATTAGTCTTATTTTTCTTCTATGATTATCGTTGATGAGAGTGAAGATGAAGATGAAATGAATGCAGCCAATCTCATGAATAAAGCCTTGAAACTCAATATCAGTCGGCTTTTTTTCGTATGGATTTATATTTCTTGAACAAAACTGCAGAATCGATCTCATTTCTCAAATACAGAAGGGTCATTTGTACTGAAACTGATCTCATGTATGGCTTGACTTTTTAATGAATATTCTTAGCGTAATTCTTGTATTTTAAACTTTGAGTCAGGAGACAATCATGAATATTGAATAGAGAAGTATGCTTCGACAGTAGTAATTTGTCTATGTAGATAGTTGAGCAATGTTGGTACAATCGAAACTATTCTGCTATTCACACCTGTTCTACATGTATTTTGAACTTTCATACGTTCACAATATCGCAAGCTTTTCTTCACTTGCAAACGAACGATTGGCTAGTATGAGAGAAGAATGATCAAAAGTCAACTACCCGTACAGATATGATACCAATTAGAATAGAAATAGACAACGCAGAAGTTATGATTTATTTGCTAACAAAGTATCACACCGTTACACAGACAGTGCGTCAGCTAGGACCACGTAACACATAATAACATTTTATGTAAAGTGAGATGAATTGAAGAAAGATGGATAAGAGAGAAATAAAGATATATATTAATAACAAAAAGCACCTTTACAATTCCTGTACAAAGTTTCCTGGAAACAAACCGACGGAGCCACGGAGATTACCTTTACACCATTGATCAAATCGACGTTCGAGTAAAATGATGATATCGCCTAGTAATATACACTGGTAAAAATAGTCAAGAAGAAGCAAGATGATACTACCTGGTCGAATGGTTAACTCATCATCATGTGCTGCATCGTAAGAAAATAATACTTTGACAAGTTTGAGTGTTTCTGCTGGTTTAGCCATCTTTATATAGTCGAAGGAAGTATCAATTAAGAATCGGACAAGATGATCCAATTGATAACTAAGATCTAGAGAGAAAATTTCAAAACATGATTGGATGTAGCATTATATGCATCAAAGTTATTTTTTTCGTCAACTAGTTGCAACGAACAAAATCGATGAATGTTACTTGTTTTTTCCTTCGTTGATATTTAAATTTAAGAAGTGCAGAACAAAAAAAGGAAATGGGATTAATTTGCGTAAGACGCATAAGTGATGCTGCTGTATGAAATTACCAACTACCTTGTTAATACCTCTTCTGTTCTCTCTCTGATGCAAAACATGAGCAAATAAATGAAATACTGGCTGTAAGAGTAAATTTCGTGTTTCATTTCAGTGAAAATAAGTAAGAACAGGGTGTGAATGTGGATAGGTGTCTCAGTGTTGGTGTAGGTGAGGTTTGATATCAGTGCGCTTGTCAAGTTTACATAACATCCAGTTCCACACCCATACCCTAATATGGAAAATTTAACATAAAAATAAAATAATGTTGATAATAAACAATAATTAGCTATTCAGGAAGCATAACTCAGAACCTGAAACGAACTAACGTTTCCTAAGTCAGGCTTTGTTTTGAGCTCTGGTGTAACAATCTATAATTTGTTAAGAAGTTTAAATAATCTTCGTTGAATCTTGTTTCGGAATGTCATAATTATAAAGAATGAATGAATTGTCACTTGTTATGATAATTATCAAATCACGTCAATATTACACTATACTGACATGAAAAGCAGAAATTTATTTTGTTTCATTTCTCTACAATGACACTTTGACAAAGAACATCTACAATATTTAACATACAATTTCATCTGTAAATATATCAACATATTAATTGATTCGATGAAACATTTTGGACTTGATTATAACTAAATATTCTGATTTTTCAGTGATTGTGATTATTCGTTTTTGGGTGTGGTCAAGGTTATGACGTGTTGAACGATATGCAGTTAGAAAGATGTATTATACAAATTTTATTCTATCTTATATTTAAAAATTCGTATCGTTTCATCCATTCAAGAATAATATTGACTAAGACTAATTGAAAAGGTAACATTTTTATTTTGAAAAATAGTTGGGTACGAATGTAGTTATGGTTACTCACATTCACATCGTTGATAGTAATCTTCCAATGAAATATATCAAATAATGATGTAAGTAGGCATCGTTTTTCTATTGATACATACTTACACTAAATTTTTACGACAAGTTTTGATAGGGAAAAAATTCTATTCTAGGTAGAATCCAATTTTGAGACAAATGCATGACAGATAGCGAAGTGTACTTCAATTTACTATTATACTTATGATTTTGAGAAAATTCTACTAAATAAAGTCTAAAATTTGATCATTCAGCAAACACAGCATATGCTTGCACTATTTACTTGAATTAATTTGATATTTTTGTTTCGAATAATTATTTGTAACTTCAGTGTATTTTTTTATAGTTGTAATTTATCTGTGAAATTGATAAAGAAAAATAAGTCAATCTGTCTCTTGTATTTTTATTGTTAATCTATTTTAGTTAGAAATACACTGCATTTCATTAGTGTTGTTAAGTTAGATATTTGTATGAAGGTTTTTTTTTTCTCAATTTACTCAATGACAATAAACACGTATGTAAATGCGCACAGAAGAAAGAGAATATGATAAAGCACCACGTCAATATTGACAGCATGACACGACACTCCGCTACTGCCAGAAAAAAATATATTTCAAGCAAGTGAATAGCTTGCAATATTAAATATGCATTTGTTGCACTAGTTATAAAAAAAACACGAAGGTAAACGTCGATTGAATCTTTCATTCCTCATGCAAGTATATGCAGTGATGAATAATACTGACAAGCAGTTGTTTTTTAGATGTTTTTATCAAACACAATCTACTGATGATATCTAATTAATGATATCGATAACTTTGATAATCAACATAAATATGACGATGAGTTAAAAACATTAAATCCGATTTTCTAACAATTATCTTCTTCAATAATATTTTAATAAATTAATTAATTCAGCAAAGTTATAACCTCTTATTTATTTTATTCAATCATCTTTTTAGATATCGTTCATCTGATACATCACTTCTTGTGTAGACTCGTGCAGTGGAATCTATATATTATTCAATCATAGATTGATTGTGCTCTGAAAAAACAATGATAGCAGCCAAATTCCTAATTGCAAAGGTAAGAGCAAAGATTGTTTATCTTTTGAATAATTCAAATCTTATTTTGAATCGATTTCTCTCATGAATTTGATGAAAATAGACAATCATGTTAAAAAGACAATTAACTTTTTTTTTTTCTTATTTTGTCATTATTCTCTTAAGTAATTGACCAATATTTATTATTCATAGCCCAGGAATGATACATCACAACTTATTCCTGCAAAAAATCATCCAGAAATGCCATTAAGAGTACGAAATCTATTGGAAGAAGTGGGCGATGAACTCATTCTTAAAATTCAACTTGGTCGAACACCTGTTCAAGATTTTCCTCTTAAAATACTTGACTTTTTAAGTCATTCAAAATTTACCAATAAACAACTTGAACTTGGTTATGATGAAATCTATCACAACTATTTACTCATTACTATTCAGAATAGTCGTGAATCTCAAGTACTACAACATATACTAGGAAATGCTAGACAAAATAAAATTCCTAGCACTATTCTTAAACTTGAGAAAGCACAACGTATTGCTCTTAAATATCCATCTATACCCGACGAATTGATTGATATATATGATATTCCATTAACACGAAATAAACCATTAACACTCAATCGTTTAATTTCTGTAGCATCGAATGTTGACAAAAATTTTTTCAAATATGATGCTGGTGAAAATAATATGTGTCAAACATTTGTCGAAAATATTATTGATATCAATGGTTTGATGTCTAACATTGTGGATGAAGCAACATTGAATGCTCTCAAACCAATTGATGCCAAAGCATTAATTTCTTCGCTAGGTAGTCGATCTAATATTGTTAAGATAGCGACTGATTTAGGTGCCAAATTCGACAAATTAGTATTTGATCGTAAGATCAAATGGAAAAAATCGCAACCAAAAGACTTTGCTCTAATGCGTAGTACCAATGCCACTGATTCGGAAAGTACCGACGCTATATACAATACAATTCTTCAGCTTGAAAAAAATAGTAAGAATAGGAAACACTACAAACTTTATTACTTATACATTATTATTCTTTGTAGCACAATTGCTTCTTCATTAGACATCGCCACAAACACCGACCAGATCAATATTGTACTTCTAATTTTAACAAAGAAAAAAAAATCTATATTCATTTAAATTATGTAGAATGTTCTATAAATCATTTCACAATAAAAATATTAAATATTTTTAACCCTTACGCTCCCGGCAACACATATATGTATTCAAATGTATTTATCGGATAAAGGCCGCAGTAGTATATTTTTTAACTGTTTAAAAAAGCTTCTTATCGTTTGTTAGTTGGTATCATGCAAGTCATTTCTTCTTTTTTTCCTTTCTGGTTGATATTTTTACACATATATACATTTCATCTACATTTTCAGTCATTTCAGTGTATGCCAGTAAGATTACTTTTTTTCGCTCTTTTGTTGTATTAATTATGTTCAGTAGATTCTTTTCCATTTCTAAACTGTAGTATATATAAATATATATATCGTTCGAATAATAAAAGATCAGAGTAAGAACGAATCAAAAACATTCTCCTTTTGGATCATGTAATGTAGTGACTCATGGGATTTTCCCCTTTATTCACTGTAGAGATGTGTTGGAATTTTTCTAGTTTTATTTTTCATTCGCTTTATTTTTTTTCGAACATAGACATATAATCTTTTTCTAAAAAATCATATTTAGGACTTATTTTCAAAAGCTTTAATATTTGCAAAAAAGTCGGGAGCCAAAGGATTAAAGGATTCGCGAATGAAATCCATTGCACTAATACTTCGAGATAAAAGTAATCTTTCATCGTATGTGACAGATATTCAAGAACTTCTTTATAGAAATCAGTTAAAAAGTAGTAAGTAATTTATATTAGCAATGACACAACATGGACATTTGGTTATGAACATGTATCAGTTCGCCGATGGATGTTTAGTCGCAATCAAGTTAATCCAATCTACAATCTACCCGTCGTAGTGCTCATCAATCACACAGATGGACATATCTATCGAGCTCTATCACTCACGGATAATTTTCTTGACCAGTGGATGCCAAGAAATCGACCGTATGAAGAGTCAAAACGACATTTACCAGGCAATCAATACAAACTAACATGGCAAGATCGTGTTTTTACACGATTCCTTCGGTATATGTTCGTAGCCTATTTTCATTGTTTTGCTCCACGCATTCATCAACTGACACATTCACTGACTGACCATTGGTCAAATTATTTATGGGATAAACATGAATGTACTTTAAATGACGCAGCAGCAATATTTATTTGTCGTGGTGACAAAATGCCCGAAGATTCATTCTGCATCAAATATAATAGATGGCGTAACATATCAATGTATGTCAAAGGATTAGTTGATAAAGAACAGGAACTAAATCAGACATTCTCATCAGTATTTATTATGACAGATGATGTATCTGTGATGAACTCTATTCAAGATTATGCTAATCCGAACTCGACAGGAATAGATGAACCCTACGCAAGAAAGCATTTGCGTAATCGACAGTTAATGTATAATATATTTGCATCACAAGCATGTTTTGATCCATTTAATCGTATTGGATTCGAGCAATTTTTAGTATCTACGGAATTCATTATTCAGTATGCTCAATTTACTGTTGGCCATTCCGACTCAAATGTTGGTCGCTATCTCGAAGAGATTATTTACGTGCAAAACCAATTGAAAGCTTCAGTTCAATCGAATTCCTTTGTGACAAATGCTTCAGATTCTTTATAATGTCTGTAGGCTAACGAAAATAATCCAATTGTTAGAATTCTGCAAGGTCTTTCAGATGTAATTCAATGATACGAATGTCTTTTTCGAAAATTGTTCAATGTGGATCATATAAAAAGCTTTTTCTTTATCGATTTATGAAAACCCTTAGCAAAGTGGAACACATCCTTGTAACAGTCTAAAAATAGAAAAAAATTATTTTTATCCATCAAAAAAAAAACATGAGAGTGTGAGGTGGGGTTCGTGATGTAATTAGTCATTGCAACTCAACAGATCATTCCGAAGAATTTTCAATAGATCAGCCATGATCTTGCTCAATGATCTCACTAGTTGTTTGGGAATGCGTGGATGACGTTAACAGTGGATTCGAGTTATATCAAAAGTTATTCGCCTCAAGATTCATTTTAGAATTCCAATTCTTGTTTTGCACACAACTTCACGAGCTCTATCTAATGGTATAATCAGACTTTTCCATGGTTCATATTATATGTCTGTAAACCCTTACACGAATGTATAATACTGCCAAAGTCATCTCTATTCTAAGTAGTTTAGAGTGTGGATGTAGTTGTGAAGGCGTGGGTGCAAACATATATTATCAAAGAAGATATTCTAACGAGAAAAGTAAGAAATAGAAAATTCGTAAGTAAGTAGCCAATCCTAAAGGAAAAGAATGAGAGAAAGATGAAAATGACATTGTAATGATAGATGCTGAAGAAGTATCACAAGCAAGACTTTATAGAAAAAAGATACTCAACAATTTAAAATATGATAGTTACCGACACCAAAAGACAAAGTAATGAGAGCAGTAACATCGAGTATAACGAAGGAACCAGTAATAGAAATAACAACAACACATGGAATAGTAACAGTATAAGTGATACAGATGAAAAAGAGACAAATAAAAGAAAGTACAAGATATAAATCTTTTACTAACATCGAAAAAAAAAGCACCAGAAAAAAATGCCAACATAAGGAAGAAAAAATCAAAACCAAAAGGGTGTGGGTGTTCAATAAAGAACCATACTGATACCAATATCCACACCCAAATCCACACTAGACAACGTATCATTATGATAAATTCTTTTCGTTTTTCAGGTACTACTACTCCAGCATTGAGAAGAGCGTTATTTCTTCGTTATGTTCTTCCTTTGTTTACTTGGCTGTTTCCTCTCTCCTCACTATTTATAGTTAAGCAATAACAAGATTTAAATCATTTTTATTACACAAGCTTAAAAAGAGTATTATTTTGTTTACAGTAGCGTGACAACTTCTTTTCATACGTACTCGATGAAATATCATTGGAGGACAGATGTTTGAGATATTGGAATTAGTATTTATTAGCATTATCAGATACTATAGACGGTGAGTTAGTGTGTGAGTAGGCAAACTTGAATATGTTTAGAAGGATTTAACTGCAAGACGAAAACAGTATAAAGGGAGTTTTCAGATCAAAACGATATGTAGAACATTTTTCATTGTTGGAATCATGTATCTCTTGGTGTGCGGATAAACCCTTGAATGAATCGATTTTACATGATAACATTGAATACATTATGATTCTCTGTGACTTTCCGGAGACTTTGTAACAGTGCTCACATTTTTGTGTTTCCTTGAACATAGTAATACAATAAAGAAATGCTTTTGTTGTGTATCGATGTAAACACTTTACATGTTAGTTGATGTGCCATTAATTTTCTGATAATCCTCTCGTAACCTGTCTACACATATCTGATCTTCTTTTTCATTTTCACTTTCTTAACTTTATATTTATACTTTTCACTTTTGTACTGTAAAGACTTAATAAATTCGTCCATTTCTTGCCAATAAAAAAAACAGAGTGTGGGTGTGGATATGGCTTTTATGTGAGGGCATCGAGTGTTGGCATATTTCTTGTTTCGATCCACATCCAACACACACATTCCACAACCACACTCTTCATATATGAATTCCGCAGGGATCGAACTTATAGCTTTTATTATTAGTATCTGACATATTAATAAATATTTTGTCTTCAAGCTGCACCGATAGCAACATTGCATCTAATTTTAACTGAATAGGGCACGACATGCAGAGTATAAGCATGTTTTTTGCTTCTGTCGTCAGATACAGCAGAGAATACGTCAACAATCTTTGATGCTATGACTTCTGATCGTAACTAGCGCAGCAAATTTTGTCTATTGACTTGATTATATAATCTATTAAGCGAATAGAAAAATTCGAGTTAGTATGTATTGTAGAACAGACTATGTCATATCGAAATCCTTTTAAATCATTTTTATGAGTATTATTACTCATGTTATTGATGAAAATGCTCTCAAATTAAGGTATAGGTTTTATTAATTAGACAACACAACGATGATCGGTTAGTAATAATTGTTCCTGTTAATTATGGACCAACTACATGACGCGATAACGCTAATCTTTGAGGGCCAACTTCTCGTGTTTGTTTTCGGCAATATGGAATTATTTTCTTAATTTGTTTTCTAAGTTCAGACATCGATATAGTGCATACAAAAGGTAATAAAAGAGTGCCATAATTTTCAAAGAATTCAGCATATAATCTAAAATCGGCACCAACTTCCTCAGAAATGCCACAAAGATCAATGAATTCCAGTAACACATTTGGGAAGTATATGAAAAGATACAGAGTTAAAATTGATAATACTTGAATCGTCATCTTTCGATGACGCCGCCAATGAATTTGTTGATGTATTCGATATTTTTGATAGAAGACACGTAAAAGAAGAGCAATGCTGCAGAAAATAATAACTATTGTAGGTATTATATCATTCACTATAACGTCCCACATTCCTACTGTTGGAACTTCATAATAACAAATAGGATTACCACATGTAATTTGATTGTAATCATATGTGTTTTCACATGGTGGAAAAATAACTATAATAATGCTATAACAGATGCAATAGAGAGGAAGTATAGCCAGTGGTAAATAATGCAAAAAAATCAATTTATATTTTGTTGATACTAAATAATCATGAAAGATAAAAATATGTCGTTCAATGGTTGCCCAAGCAAATAGAATTGCTGTTGTAATATAGAAAGCTTCATCAATAAAAGCCCATGTGACACAAAAGAAAGAATTTTCTGGCCAAACATTTCCCAAACGATAGTAATTAAGACTCCATAGGATACTTGTTAGTTGAAAAATAAAATTGATGAAAAGAAGAAGAGCAATAACATGATTATGTAGAGCCTGCCGTAATCTTGGATGGACAATAAATTGATAGAAAATGAACAAAGAACAAATAACCGATGGAATGCAAAAGAGAAGAATAATCCAAAAACGAATTAGACGAGGAATGGCAATTCCAGAAGGTAATACTGTTGTATCCTCGAAAGAACTGTTGTCTTCACTTAACATTTTTTGCTATAAAAGTTAAATCATAACGAAGAAGAAAACACGTCCAAATGAAAAGAAAAAAGTTTTATTCACAAATATGCTTTTTTTTTCTTCTTTTTGTTTTTATTATATATTCTTTATTATATTTTTCAATGTAGAAAGTTTGATAGAACCTTTGGCGGTGTGCACATCATTGTATGCAAGACTAAACATTCTGAATCAGCTATTAATATATATTCAATATACAAAATAATAATTCTATTTCTATCATATAAGTAATATCAAGGAACGACATAAACTTGGACGCTTATTATTTTTTTTGTCGCATGCAGCCTTATGATTTATCAACTTCATAGAGAAAAGTACTAACAAGGGAAGGCATAGGATTGATCAATCATTTTTAAAATTTTAGTGGGACCAATTTGTAGAGCTTGTTGAGTTATTAACTGATACAATAATCATTCGAGCAAACGGTGCATTGAATGGTAAATCTCTGATAATCAAAGTTTGCATTAGCCTACTCCCAGAATAGTTATAGAAAAGAAGAAGCAAAGAGAACTGTAGTCATCGGGATCGAATCTAAGGCATTTTACATACAAAATAAGCTAGAGCATGTAGAAAAAATATTAAAATTGTATCATGTTTCCATGATAATATGTATAACTAAAGGATAGTTCCAACTGTTTCTAGTTCACGTACTCTTTGTAAGTACGAAAAAGACATTTTTTTGAGTTTCTTTGATTTTGTATTTTTCATTTATTCACATACATAAAAAAATATTCTTTACAATAATATATAGTAATTAATGATAATGATATGACTCATAAAAATAATGAAAACATAAAACTCGTCTACAAATAGCAAACGCACATTTTATAAATGAATTTTCGCCACACAAACAAAAAGTCAAGTTAATATTATCAAGACAAACTTCATCGGCAGTTTGAAATGTTTCATATTTCCCTAAAAAACAACAAGCTTTAATCCAAGCATATTTTCACATAGGTACGACTACATTTGATATTAACTGATTGTAAATTAGTGATTACAACTTTATTATTCCATTACGGAATGTGGGTGTGGGTGCGGGCTGTAGTGCTTCTGTTCGCCCACACCCACATCCACTTCAATGGTAGTCATGAGTATCGTGGTAGACTGTTTAAAAGTTAAACATCGTGCTGAACATCTTTTTATTCAATTGTTTTAAGTGTGCTGACGGCGTACTGGTGTTCGTTGATCATTCTACCTCAAGTATAGAGAGTAACAGTTTAAGCATAGTCAATTTATTGAATATATTCTCTGAAATGTTTAATTCATAAAAATTAGAAAGACTCGAGACAGCTCTTTTGCGGTTTGATTTTGTTAAAGATTTTTTTCTTATTCAAAAAGAGAACGCAAATTATGATGCAGTAAAACATGCAGAGATTTACTTCGTTGTTACACTTCAAATGAATCTTCGAATTTCTGCCATTAATTGTTTACTGGAAAACATTTAAAAGAGATTTTTTTTCTCAATTTGATTTATAACTGTGAAATCTTCATAGTTATTTTATTTGACAGAAAAAGGACAGAAAACAAGTTTTAAAAGGTCACGAAAATTCCTCGAATCGTTTTTGATAGAGTACTTTTTTGATGAACACAT